CTGGCCTGTGGATGTTTAGCAGGAAAGGATCACATTCTCAAGGTATGCAATTAAAAGAGTAACCTTTCTCCATTACATTAAGGTGGGAACAAAAAGTGGTCAGCCTTCTGGGGGGTGGGGGGGTCGACTACAGTTTCCACAATTCATAGCATCAGGCCTGAAATGTCTCTCTCTAAAGGGTATTTGGCAAAGAGTTACAGAATTACACTTTGTCCATCTTTGATGTACACTAATGCTTACAAAGCTATCTTAAGGGTGACTAAGATATGTGTGTGAAATACTCTTGAATATTTAAAGTGCTGTGTTATAAATGCCAAGTTTTATTATTTCCTATATATGTAGGAGCCCCTGGTGCCGCAGTGGGTTAAACCGCTGAGCTGCTGAACTTGCTGATCGAAAGGTCGCAAGTTCAAAACTGGGGAGCGGCGTGAGCTCCTGCTGTTAGCCCCAGCTTCTGCCAACCTAGCAGTTTGAAAACATGCAAATGTGAGTAGAAGGTAATGGCGCTCCATGCAGTCATGCTGGCCACGTGACCCTGGAGATGTCTACGGACAACGCCGGCTCTTTGGCTTAGAAATGGAGATGAGTACCAACCCCCAGAGTTGGACACGACTGGACTTAATGTCAGGGGAAAACCTTTACCTTTACCTATATGTAGCCAATTATTAATCTTCTGAGTTGACAATAATTTATAATAGCTGTTACTTTGTTGAAAATCAAGCTTACAATGAGAGCTCCCTTTGAAAAGGAAACTGAAATCAACATTATTCTTATCATATCTGCAACGTTTTTGTTACAGTAAGTCGTATCAGGAACAAGTGTGTGTGTGTGTGTGTTAAATGATTGCCTATGTATTGTTGTTCATTCATTCAGTTGCTTCTGACTCTTTGTGACCTCATGAACCATCCCACGCCAGGGCTCCCTGTCGGCCGTCACCACCCCCAGCTCCTTCAAGGTCAAGCCAGTCATTTCAAGGATGCCATCCATCCATCCTGCCCTTGGTCAGCCCCTCTTCCTTTTTCCTTCCATTTTCCCCAGCATCATTGTCTTCTCTAGCTTTCCTGTCTTCTCATTATGTGGTCAAAATACTTCATTTTTGTCTCTAGTATCCTTCCCTCCAATGAGCAGTCAGGCTTTATTTCCTGAAGTATGGACTGGTTGGATCTTCTCGTGGTCCAAGGCACTCCCAGACCTTTCCTCCAAAACCACAATTCAAAAGCATCTATCTTCCTTCGCTCAGCCTTCCCTATGGTCCAGCTCTCACATCCGTAGATGACTACGGGGAATACCATTGCTTTTACTATGCGGATATTGGTTGCCAGTGTGATGTCTTTACTCTTCATTATTTTATCGAGATTGGCCATTGCCTATGTATATAAAACACTATAATCTGCTCTGAGTTCTCTAGGGGAGAAGGGCGAAATATAAATAAAGTGTATGATGATAATGATTATGATTATGATGATTATTACTGAATCCATGGATAATAGCATCATATAGTATACTAGAAAGAGCATATCCAATCACATGAAACATCCCATTGTTTACAATATAACATTCCTTTTATTTCTTTTTGATAATTAATTTCCTCTATATGCAGCACAGCTCTGAGTTTTATATTCACTAATCCTTTCAACTAATGGGGGCTTTAAAAGGGCTGCTTGTTTTTTTGTTTTTTTGTTTTTTAAGTGAACTAGTGCTTTGTGTGTCATATTCCAGTGCAAAAGGGTTATGTGTCATTCCAATGCAAAAGGAACCCCATTCACTTCTAAAATGCAATGTCATGTTTTTGGATTAACCTCTTCTATTCATTTCAAACACTGGGTTTGTTTACTTTGAGACAAGGCAATGATGGAGAAGACATGTTAGGTAACTTCAAAGAACTGACCCATCACACCAGCGAGACAGTACACCTGCTTCTTTATACAACGCACCTGCCAACTACAGGAGAGTCTTACAGTAATTCTTCTGGATAACTTTTGATGTCCTGATTACATAATTCTATTGATTGCATAACTGCACAGCTGACAACTCTGCAACCTAGATCATCAACACAATAGTCCTGATTTGGAAGAGCATTATTATTATCTGGCATATAAACACAGGGCTGTTTTCCCCCATAGTGTTATGAACCATAGTTCAAACATAGCTATATGTTTGAACCATAGTTCAAACATAGCTATACCTGCCCATTTCGTAACCTAAAATACCACTGTCATTATTTCCACAATAAAGAGTTCACCCACAGTGTGGCGATCACCACTGGGACCATGTTTACTGGCTTGTGCCAGAATCTTTGCAGTTCGATCTTTATATCCTTGAGATGATAATATTCTTATTATTGGTGTGATATTGTTATTATCATTATTATTTCCTCAGGGTAGATAAGGCATGGGCCAACTTTAGCCCTCCCTCCAGGTGTTGAGACTTCAACTCCCACAATTCCTAACAGCCTCAGGCCCTT